TTCATTTCCAATAGGGCTTTAGTGACATTGAACCTTTCAATTCTTCGATCTTGTGGGTTAGGGAGAACAACGGGAGGAGGAGGAGGAAGTGAAGCATGATTTCTTGTTCCTCGATCGAATCATGGAATATCATCTTCATGTGGAAAGCTTGTTCCACGGGATTTGGGAAGACCATAATTGTCAAACTTTGACATCCATAAAACAGGAGAATGCAAATTCAAGTTAGTTGATAGATTGAGTCCTTAGTAAATCACCCAACTGAGATACTAAGGCTAGGACCCAACACAATACGCTACAACCTACAAAAGGGATGCCGTAATCTAGTTGCAGAATTTTTGAAGGTAAGTGAATGACGATTCACTAATTTTCCACCATGAAAAACGAAAAGGAAATTTAAGTTTTAAATCTATGAAAACTCCTAGATCCTTTGAGATTCATTGAACATTTCAATGACATATTCAAATCTCGATATGCCCCTCTTGTTTGTGACTGGGATGCCGAGGATCACAAAGCGGGTGTGAATAACCATGCAAACTCACATGATGCCCTCACATGTTACGATCACCTATTCGATGTGCCGGTAAACCACACACGCTCCACCGAACTATGACAAACATTGAGTCACCCTTTGCTACCTTTGCTTAGAACCATTTAGTGTGCCGGTAAACCACACACTCTCCATTAACATCTTCGCAAGGGCACAAAGTGTAATTTCATGGAATTGCATCAATTCACTTTTGCCTAAGTAACTAAGATTGGGAATTTGTAAAACATTTAGTTACTTTTGTACTTCATTATACTTATAATGGAAGGTTTTGTCCTATCCTACCCGTTCGACTAACGACCCTCCACTAGTCAAGAGTGCGGTGGGTAAGAGTGGATACCCATTCAATCGCTATTTTATAGACAATTTCCTTAAACACCCCTTATAGACCAGCTTCGTGAATGAGGCCTACTAACGATAAGATTGACTTTTAATCATATATATATATATATATATATATATATATATATATATATATATATATATATATATATATATATATATAATGTTAGACTTTTTATGTTATATATAGTATAGGGTGTATTTTACACTTTTAAAATACTAGGTGGTCAAATTTAACGATTATTCTTTTAATTCAATTAAATGTAAACCAAAACGTTTATGGATTTATTAAATCTCTTTTAATTATATGCCTTAATTAATTAATAAAACCATAAGAGTGTGATTTGAACTTTTCAAAACAATACTAGGGTTTTAAAATTTAACATTTCTAAAGTAAACTTTTAATCAACTTTTAAATTCCAAAAACTTGAGGGCAGGTTTTGAAGCTATTCAAAACATTTGGGTTTTAACTATTTAAATTTCAAAAACAAAACTTTTAAGTTCAAATTTAAATTATAAAACCTAAAGGGGAAAATTGAAACTTTTCATAACACAAGGATCAAATAACAAATAATATAAATTAAACAATTAATTTCATCATTATCTATATTTGACCTAATTTCAATTTCATGCAAAATAAGTTACTCAATTAATACAAATAATTCAATCTTTATCATATAAGGAAGTTATTATCTAATCAATTGGTAATTATCTTGTGTTTTGGCAAGGATATTTCTTTAATAAACAATAAAATTCGTATTTTATAGGTTTAAAACGAATATGGTAATTATCTTTAAGCAAAGCAGCAATAAAATCCGAAAATCCCTCTATCTGACACTCAGACTCGTCGAGTCACACTCTGGAACTCGCCGAGTAGGAATGACTCGCCAAGTCCAGGTAGTGACTCGCCGAGTCAGGTCGAACAGAAGGCCAGAAAACGATTTTCAGCTACATAATACATCCATACAATAGAAACGAATCTAGGCTCTGATACCACTGATGCGTTTTAGTCATAAGAACATCCTATGTGGACATACAAACCCTGATGCTTGGATCTAGGTTTCTCTATTTTGCATGTAATTTATCCAAGACTATAAACCCTAATCTAGCATATGATAATCGATATTAACATAATAATGGGTTTAAGATATTACCTTGATTGTTATGTAGCAATAACAATCACAATTCCGTCTTATAATGACTTTAGAAAGCTTAGAGTCACAAATATCACTCCTCTAATGCTTCACAAACACCAAGAGCAAGAGGATGAAGAGGATAAGAGAAGGAGGCTGCCCAAAACCATCCAAAACCCTAGAGAACAAGTTCACCACGTTTTTGGGGCTTAAGGGTGCTCTTTATACATGTAGGCTATTAGGGATTTAAACTAGGAAACCCTAATCTAACTACTTAAGCCCTAAGCAACCCATGGATTCCTTTCTTAAAGGCCTTGGACGATTTCCAATGGGTTTCCCCATAGAATTCGTCCAACCTTATAATATATGGCAATCCATAGTCCAATTGCAATTATCTTTTAATTACAATTCCAGTCCCTTAAGTTTAATTAATCTCTTTTAGCCACAAAATTAATTATCTATTAATTCTTGACTAATATTCACTACTAGAAAAACAACCTTTTACGACGCTCATTGCGTGTCGTAAACGGCTCAGACGACCCGCAAATGCGCGTCAAGGAAGGCCCTGTCATAAAGAGAGACGACGCGCATTTACAACGCACAATTACGACGCGCGTTTACGACACGCGATGCGTGTCAAGAAAGGCCCTGTCATAAAGGAAGACGAAACACATTTGCGTGTCGTAACCTTTCGACGCTCGTGTTAATGACACGCAATGCGTATCAAAAAAGCGCTTGTCAAGAAAGGCCATGTCATAAATGAAGATGACACACATTTTTGCGTATCATAATTTTAAATTTAAAAAAAAAATTATTTATGGATTTACTTATTTTCATATTAAATTTGCATTTAAGTCACATAATGGAAATTAAAATACCATATACAAATAATACAATGCATTGCACAAAAGTTAATGTTATACAAATAATCATTCGAATAGTAGACAAATGTAATACTACAAATAATCATTCCAATAGTAGACAAATGTAAGATTTCAACAATTTTTATATAATTAACTATATTATTAGCCAAATTTTCTAAAATACCAACATACTTTTCTATGAAGAGCATTAACACTATTCTTTTCCATCAAAAACTTCAAAACCTGCATAATTAATTTAATGTTTAATCAGCTACAGGTCAATAAGGTAGGTTTAAGCAAAAGAGGTTCATAGTAGTAAGATTTTACTTACCACTGTTGTTAATGACATTGAAAGAAGCAGCCCAACAAACACCCCCTCAGAAGGATTATTACTAAATGAAACCACAAACAAAGTTAAAAAGTCAAGTATTTTGTGACAACCCCGTAACCAGGGGCAAGGCTGTTTTTACCCATGGTATGACCTAATACATGATAATAAAGACTTGTTTAACAAAAAGAAAAATGATTTCTCACGTAACATCACTATTAAGAATTGATGAAAGAGGGTACTCCACACTGTATTGCCAACAAGCTTGACACCAACACCTAAAAGCTGGAAAAAACAATAACAGAAATAAAAATAAATGTAAGATTTGAGATAACAGATGCATGTGTATGAAAGAACCAATAGATGATAGAATTACTGAAAAGGAATCATGGAAACAAGGAGTTAAAGGGTCTTTAAGCATACCATTTGCAAAAATTGGTCGATGTTGATCTTTAACATTCCCTAAAATAGGAAGAACTTGGGAAAGCACACCTTTAAGTCTTGGGTAAACATTAGAGCTTCAAATAAATGATCATAGCACCAAAATATATTCAGTTTCAGGACTCAGTTTTGAACACATGAAAGAAGACTCATAAGGATGCCAAAGAGTTGGATAGAGGACTAATCAAATTTACCACATGTCATTTCTCTTCTCTTCTATTATGTATTATGTAATTTATTGCAAGTCTATGGATTCGAAACTTACCACCCTAGCAACGTCATTAATGACAAACCGACCACCATAGGGACAAAAATGCTTGCAACCTGAACCACACACACACACACACACACACACATATATATATATATACATATATATATATATATATATATATATATATATATATATATATATATATATATATATATATATATATATATATATATATATATATAGTCATAATACGCATAATAAGTGAATTGTCTTTTACCAATTTATGCAATCATCTTTCCCTATTTAACCTATTTATGCAACTTATACACCCATGTTTCATCAGGTTAAACAGGTTGCTGGTAAAACATCATATGTTTTTGTCCTACAATAAATAATACACTGGTGCATATTTTCTAATAAAGAAACAAATTTATTGCAGAATCGGGAAGAGGGTGAATGTTGTTTCATAAATATGCATATGCATTTAATCCTTTTAAATATAAACACTCGAACCATAATTCACATGTCTACTTTTACCAATTTATTTTATGCACCATATATGCAGCTGACATGAATGAATTATACAACAAGTTAGGAGTAAAATAAGGGATGGTTACATATTTAGTATGATAAATAAAGAGATTTGTGGCATAAGGGTGCATAAGTAATAAAAAGCAAAAAGGAAGAGGAAAGCTGACTTACATAATCAGGAAATTTCTGAATTGGTGCTTTTGACATAATACATAAGAGTGGTCCCGAAGGGATAGCTGGCAGCAAAAAATCTCAGGCAAAAAATATTCCAGGAGAAAACAGTTAGTACCTGAAAAGCAAAGGTTTTATAGGGTTAGGCATGCACCAGCAAGACAGGGACTAAGATTATAAGTGATGTGAATGGGACATAGTAATTAAAGGAATTTTTGTTACCATTGTTCCATGCATAGTGGTTGGGGTAGAGCATTTTTCCATCACTGTTAACACGGAAGGGTCCAAGTTCTTCCATGGCGCCATATCCAAACAACAAGCATCCTAGCCCAGTAGAATACCTTCATTAATAGTGGTTCTTACTCTAAATTTTGGTGCATTTGGATGATGATCTTTAGAATCTCCATTCTGATTCATGAATATTTTATGTGATTCAGATTCCAGTGAAGGGAAGAGAGGAGTAGCTGGGGCTGTTAAAAGCCTGAAAAAGATAGCATCCAAACTTTACTAAATGTGTAAATGTGATCAGTAACATGTGCCTACAACTCTACAAGGATATAAAACCATAATTTGTACATACTGGTTGCAGAAGGCATACTGATTTTGGTAGAATTTCCTCTTCTTGATCCTGCGACATCAAATTTTTTATATAGTTATTGAAATATATGATGATAAATTCGTATACACATGGCCAGGTAAGCTACACAAATCAAAGAAATTCATTAGGGATTTCCTATACTTTTACTCCTAAATTTTAGATAATATATTACAAGATTTATTACTTAAAAGGATAAGAAAAGGTCATAAACTAATAATTTTGAAGCATTAGCAACTGAAGTAATAAAATAATCATCAAATAAATGGAATACCAAGTGACGAGTCAAATTCCTCTTCTGGGTGGTGATTTGGAGTTTATGGATCTTGCAATCTTCCACATGGACAAATCCTAAGAGAGGGGGTCTTGGATATGGTGAAACTAATGCACTTGAATCTTTAGTCACTGAATCATCAAAAAGAACAGATAAACATTTAATGGATATTATTTTCAACCAATATAAGTTTAAAGAACACTGTTTAGCTATTAAAAGATATATCCTTTTAGGTCAACGCGATTTTGTTCAATACCTAATGGAAATCATTGAGCCAACCATTGTTGGAATAGATTGATAAGGGTTGCTTTTGATGATACGAAGAGGCACGTGCAGCTCTTGTCAGCATCATAAGCAGAGACACCCAACAAACCATCCTAAGAAACACATTGGAGAAAAATGAATTCATAGAGTTCACAGAAAAAAATAGTAGAATCATTGGCAAGTGGATATATATTATTACCATGCCAGCAAGTGGAGAAACATCTGTAACATCCCCAAAATGATCATTCCTATTGTCACTCATGATGGTACCGTGTGCTTGAGATATGTGGCGGCTCTTCTGAATTTTCTACGAATATGTAAGGAGGGTCAAGGGAAATCAAATTCAGGAATCAAGAACTTGGATTCCATAAATACGAAATCCTAATTGGAAATCAGGCATTCGTTTTTCAACGAGATTTAGTCAAATATATTAATCAAGTAAAATTGTTTGGTCATAGAACCAATTATAAAAGAATTTGTTGATTTTCAATTATGGACTTGATTCAAGTAAGAATGAATCAAGAAGAGCCCTTGAATGAATTGTACAAGCAATTAAAAACAAGATAGTATTTTAAAGATGTTAAAATTAGGTAAATTTACATCACAATGAAAAGTTCAATCCTGTAAGTTTTTAAGCAATTAATAAAAGAAACCATTTCAAGAAAGTCAAACATCTATAAAATTGTCTATTCATGGAAGATGGAACTACCAAAAAATTTGCTGATTAATTGCTTGAAGGTAACAAAGTTCAAACTTTTTAAAGAAACAGAAACAAATTCAAGTAGATTGTAACAAAGAACCCTTGACTAGAAACGTTCAAACAATTGAAATCAAGAAATTAATGTAAGTTTCAAGCACACACTAAGTTCGACCATGGCAAATTTCAAGCAATTCAAAATAACCCACTTCGAGTAAGATCAGATTAGTAAGTTTATTCTATGATACGACCACATATAAACCAAGATCAGATCTATAAGAACGCTCCACTGATCTACTCAAATAGTAGACATCGAAGTCAAAGGATAGTTTTTAAAAATTATTAAACAGGGAAATCTTTGATCATAATCCTTTTCATCCATGGTAAGCTATAGTAAGGTTATAAAGCATAAATAAAGAGAAATTTACCTTGCATAGAAGGTCTAGGGCAAATAAAGCCATCATTCACTAGAGAAATATTTGAAGGCATAGGAACAGCGGGCGAGTCGACTCCGAACTGCGTACCCACAAAATCGACCTCAACCGACATCTGATTCACATCTCCAGCAGTTTCAATAGCAGTCTTGAGATCAACACTTGGAAATCCAGCAAAAACGGTGTCGTTTCCAACTGGACCCGGAAAAGTAGCAGACCCATCAGCAATTACAGCATTAGAAGCAGATACCAAGTACTCATCATGCTGAAAACCCACAAACACCCTCCATGATTTAAGCTCTTTGTCGGCGTTATTGAGGACTCTGAGGGTTGATTCAAAGCGGTAGGGTTGATTTGATGTTCGGTTTGGTGGGAGCTTGGATCCAGATGTGTAAGTGTAGGATAAGTAGATGCCGTTGCAGGAATCGGATGTTGGTGGCGGTGACGGTGGTGTTGGAGTTGGAGTTTGGGCGGTGGTAATGGTGGCGAGAAAGAGAAGTGTGGTGGTGTTGAGAGAGAAGCTAGCAAATCCCAGGCTTTTAGCAATTGAGCGAGTCTTAGAAGCCCTTTTTCTTGATTGAGATGATGAAGTCGAGAGATGGAGATGACGTCGTAATTGAGAAGTTGCACAACAGTGTGAGGAGAATGAAAGATGCGTGAAAATGCTTAGGGCAGGGAGGGTAGCGGGCTTTTCTAATTTTTTGGCTTTTCTTTTCCCGCTTGTAACTAAGGAACGCGCGTTCATTAAAATTATAAAGCGACACATATAGAGGGCGCGCATTTAAGGTACAGCGCCCTCCGTGTTTTCAATTTTTTTTCTTTTGACACTAATTTAAAGGCACGCAATAATGCGTGACCTAAATCCTTAAATTTTCTGAAGAGATGACACTTTTTTAATGTCACTCTTGTTTGCGTAACATAAATTAATGAGTGTCGTAATTTGCACGTCGTAAAAGGCTATTTTTCTAGTAGTGATTATTTAAACAATATGATTTCTCCTTTAATATATTATTCTCATAATATATTAATAAATCATATTTAATCCTTTCTCTCCATAATTCATCCTATCAAGTTGCTTTGGTGAAGGCAACCCAAAAGGAGCATGCACCATCGAATCAAGTACATACCAAAATAGTTATAGACTTAGACACTAATCCAACATTAACAACATTAAAAAACTTAGTCTTTTCAATCCAAAATGATTTTGTAATCAAAACATTATTCACATTTTCATCTTTTTGTATACTTGAGTCTTTTTGTCACAAAGACTAATTTCAACAATTGTTCTTTTGTTTTAAATAAAATCCCTTATTATTGGAATAAAATATTTTGGAAAACCTTTTCCCTCATCCATTTTCTTTATTTGTTTTGGAACATTTTAGAATATTTTTAGTTGGTTTAACACTCCAAGTGGTATAAGAGTTAGGACCAAAATTGGTTTTTTTTTCTCAAATTTATGTGAATAATTTTTCCGATTACAAAACGTTAACGAACTGTTGGGCTTTTGATTTTAACATGTGATTTTGAATAAGAACATGAACAAACAACGTTTTGAGATTTAACAACATTAAAAGAATTCGATGCTATCTCTTTTTGTTTCCAAAATTTCTTCATTTCTTTCAAATTCATTTTATATCTGGATTTCCTAACCTTAATCATTTCTTTCTTCTCCTTTTTTATTTGACCATCTTGATCACACACCTTGGATTTACTTTTTTAATAACTCAAAAAAGATTGCTACATCAACTTGTGAAGTAGATGCTATATTTAAAGGTTTTGAAATGTATCTATTATTCACTCTCCAAGATGTCTTATTGGAAAGTCCCATTATCTCATAGTTTTCTATCAGTACAAACGAAAATGATTCTCGCAATAATTGACATTATTAGCCTTCACAATATAAGTTATATCAATGGTGTTAGTTTTGTCCAATCCTTTCGTGGAATTTTAGAAACACAATAGTCTTTTCTTTAAAATCCTCAATTCCATTGATTTCAACAACTTTTTCAAATTTAGGAGAATTTTAAAAAATCAAGTTCCTTTTTGGTTCATCATCATTCTTCACAAATTGGAACAATCAATTTCATTTCTACTGGAATTTCAATAATCACATTTTCATCATAATCTGAAACAATTTCACCGTTATGATACTCCTCAGAATTCAAATTTTTATACATCAAGATATATTTTCATTTGAATTCTTTTTTATTTGTTGTTGATCATCTTCTATTAACACATCATTTATCATTTTATTTATGTCCCCTGTTTTAAAAAATTCCTCAACATTTTCTAAAACCAACCCTATAAGCATCACTTAATGATTCTTTAGAAGATATCAAAGATTCACATTCATAGCATTCTGCACCTAAGTCATCATCCTAAAATTCTAAGAATGGAAACATTTTTTTTTATGTATTTCATTAGATATTTTGCAGTTTAGATAACGTTGAGTAATATCTCTAAATAAGCGTTTCACAATTTGGCAAAAGATGTTCTATTCTTTTGTGGGCACTCCATTATCAAAATTCTAAATATAGACGTTATATTTTATTATAAAAATATATATCTCCAACTATTCTATCTTAAGCCTCCTCTCCTCATTTCTAAACGTGCACTTACTAGGATCATCATCAATATTAGATACCTTCGATCTATTCTATCTTAGACTTTCACCTAATTCAGAAATATTATCTTGCAATTTAGTCAATTAATCATTGGAATGATAAGCAGGAATATCTAAATATTTAATAATATAAAGTACATTCTATATCACTTTCTTGCATTCTTGCAAGAGTTCTCATGCACCCTTTGCAAAAAAAAAAAATGAAGCACAGAAGTTTGCATCATCAAATATTTCTCCATGCTCAGAATTTTTTCATTGATCGTCGGAACTTGTGCTTTGCCCTATCAAGCAAATTCCTTATATCACACATGATAAATCACTAACAACATCACAAAAACCATGATTAGGTTTATAAGCCCCCTAGTCTTCTGATTTGGTTGACTAAACTTCCATGTATCCATCATCATTGTTATATTTTCGACTATCAATTTCTTTCCTTAAACTTTTAGCTTTTAGATCTTCAATCTTTTGCCTGTAGTAAGCTTCATCTTTCTCTTTCTCTTTCTTCTCATTTTGCTTACAGAACATACATTCTGTTGCAAAATGATTCTTTCCATTACAGTAATTGCATCCATAACCTGAATCGCCTAGTGATTTCTTTTCTTTTGTTCATACAATTGATAATTTTTTACTCCACTTTCGTTTTTCTCAGCTAATGAATTTCCTCCTTTGTATCCATTTCCTACTATATCAGGCCTCACATTACCACTGCCTCTAAACTTTGAAAAATTCTCCTTAAAAAAACTTCTTTAGATTACTAACCATGAGAGCCTTTTCCTTACTAGTTCATCATGCGTCATATGTGAGTCAAAATTATCAACAACTACTTTCTCCTTGGATTTCTTTTTCACAAATTCTCCTTTCACAAAAAGAGCTAATAGACCTGCATCTACACTTGATTTTTCATTTACCATGACTTCATCTTCATGAGACTATAAAACACCGACAACTCGTGACAATGAGTAGTTTTAAATTTTCGTGCACCTATGCAGTTGACGTAATCATCTTCCATTCTGAACATAAACTCTTTATGAACGTCACCTTTCCTTCAATTGGTTCTCTTCTGAATTTATACATCAACATTCTACTTAGTAAGAGATTGAACCTACTAGCAACTTGATCAATTGTTTCTTCACTTTCAGTCGAAAAGATCCACACTACGAAAGTAATCTTCTTTGCATAGAATGAGTTTGAACAACATCACCGGACTAAAGTTCCTTCAATCTCTCCAATATATCATGAGTTGTTGCAAGAGAGTTTACAAGTTTGAATGTTTTTGGTGGAAGCCCAAAAAGTAAACCTCTTTTTTCTCTTAAATCTCCTTTGATCTTCTCCTTTTCTTCAGTTATCAAATATTTATGTTTTTTCACAAAGATCAGCATAATCAGCAAGTATGATAACATATTCCTTTTTCGTTGTGCATCTCCAAATGAATGGTCCGTGTTTCTTGATTCATGAGATATAATATTCAAAATGTGACACTGAAACTTCATAATCTTTGGGGTGTATAATTGGAATACGAGTAGATGATGCAATACTACTCAACAAATTGAAAAAAAATGGCATGAATATCTTCGGTAGATATAATTTCAATTGAAAATGTTATGTCGGACTAAAATCAATGGGCGGATTCAGAATTCATATCAAAACAAGTAATGAAACAATGAGTTCCAGATCAAATTGTAATTAGATTACAAAGTTCGATACAGATCTAGTGAAACACCATAACAAATAAAGAACTCGTGAAACATCCCAAAAATCACGGTAAAATTTTCATTTTTCAAAAATAAAAACCAAAAACTATAAGTTTTACAAACATAGTTTCCGAAGCGTCAATGGTGACAGATCATAGCATCCCAAAATCAGATATCATTAAAACTGATGGATGTGCTTGTTCAAGCCTTCGCCATGCCCTGATCATCTGAAGTACATAAAAACACGAAACCAAATAGTAAGCACGAAGCTTAGTGAGTTCCCCTAAAATACTACCACACAAACATATAATAACATGCATATTAAGTCCAAAACTAACATATCAGATTGCCCCTGAGTCAACAACATGAGTCTGGCTTTCCTTCCGGCCCACAAAACATGTCTAGCTTTCTCTTGAACCTACAACATGAGCCTGTCTTGCCTTACTGTACCCCAACTTATGTCTGGCTTGCTCCCGTTCCCACATGATAAGTCTGGCTTGCCTTACTAGTCCACAAATTATGTATGGCTTGCTCCCAGGTTTGTTGGCTTATGTACAGAGCGGGATTGCCTCAACCCAACCATATTATGTCGACATATACATAACAGGTAACATGTATCCAGCAAATAGATATGCATATAACCAGTCACACAAACAAACAGATCTACAGATTACTACCGCATAGCAACATACTACATACCAAGTCACAGATCTAATAGATCACTACATCATAAAAAACATCCTTTATAATATGATATGTAACCTAGTGGGTCGACACTGGTGCATTCGACCCACGAGTATAGTGAGGAACTCACCTGAATCAAAGAACTCTGAAACACTGCGATACGATCCCTTCTTCTGCACTACTTGCACCCGCGAATCTACTAACACCAAAACCAGATAAAATCTTAATCAATAGCCCAAAATCCTCAAGTTTGACCCAAAATCAAACTTGGTAAAAAGTCAACTGTCAACAGATGTCAAAGTCCAAGACTGCTTTGCGTACGTCCAACGTACTCCACGTACGCCAGGTGTAAGCAATTCTAGTCCAATATGCCAAGCATACTCCTAGGTACGCCCAACATATGTTTGCTAATCCCAACATTCCATTAACCACTTTATCCCTTAATACCTTTGTACAGAGGTCAGACTTAGACTCAAAATATCGACTTAAGTCATAAAATTTCCACCTTTATGACTTCACATGGCTAGAAAATGTCCAAAAGCTAAAACCCTAATTTATTAATCCATTAAGACATCATAACTCTTTCATGGAAGGGATAGAAGGACCAAGATCAAAGTTTTACGGTTCTTAGAACCTCCATAATGGATAAAGTTTCCAACTTTATCCATCAGAATTTTCCAAGCTACCAACATCTTGTCTTTTAAGTTTCAAGGGGACCAAAAGCGCATCTTTCTTACTTAATCC